AGGGCCTACAGGCCCGGTGTCTGTTTCAGCCTGACAGCCTGAAAACCAGGGCCTACAGGCCCTGTGTCTGTTTCAGCCTGACAGCCTGAAAACCACGGCCTTCAGGCCCCGTGTCGTTTCAGCCTGACAGCCTGAAAACAAGGGCCTATAGGCCCTCAGGCTTTAGCCAGAAGCTACCTGGAAACTTCCCGGAAGCTTCCTAGGCTTTAGCCAGAAGCTACCTGGAAACTTCCCGGAAGCTTCCTCAGGGTCTAGCACGTTTGCGCATTGGCAAGAGCAGCCTCCTGGATGGGCCAGCACTAGATAAGACTGGCCCGCCCTACAGGCAGGTAGGTAGTCTTCAGGATTCAGCAGCAGCACTCTGGAGGAGCGCTGCAGGAGTAGTATTAGCGCTAGCAGTAGTCTTCAGCGCTGGGCGCTTTGTAGCGTTAGCAGTAGTCTTCAGCGCTGGGCGCCATAGCTACAGTAGTACTAGAGAGAGAGAGATTGGGCGGAGGCCAGGGATACTTACCTGCAGCGCCGTTGCTCCAGCTTCATCTTTGAGGTACCTGCAGCACAGCGCCATCTTCACAGGTTAGTACCTGACACATGAGAGAGAGAGAGAGAGTTCTTCGTCTTCCTCTTCTCAGTCCACCATCTCCTTCTCACCCTCCTGCTATCTGACTTCACTGCATCAGCAGACTACGAGAGAGAGAGAGAGAGCTTGGTGACATTTGGATCCAGACTCGACATTGGACTTCAGACATATCGAAGAGGGATTATTTGGGATTTGAAATGAGACTTGGTGTTGACGACTTTCCCATCTCCCCCTTCCTCTTCTTCGTCTGATCCCCTCCTCTTCGTCTGTGCATGTCTGGACCTGGTGCCTCTTTCCTGTGTATAGCGCCAGGCTCCTTTACACCTTGGGATGGACATGATGCATGTTTGGTCTGCGTTTAAACATTGATTGGGCTAGTCATTTGCATTCTAGCATTCTGCTTCGCTATCTTGTGCTATGTGAATGAGGTCAGTCCCGGTCAGGTCAGGACTTGTATCTAAAGTCTTCCCTGCGCTGTAAAAGCACCATTTTGTATGTATCGGAATGCACATTGCTTGTTGAGATTCTACTTGCACTGCATTGTCCATTCAGTCCTTTTTATCACATTGCGGATCCTCGGTTATTATGTACATAGCCCAACTGGGCATGTCAGAGTTTGTCTACAAGAGACACCGGTGTAAGATGGTTGTGGGATTTCCCTGACTAACCAGTCGAACTTTGTGAGTCCCTTCTGACCCAAACTCGTCTGCGTCATATTGCTGCGAGTAAAGCTGTTTGCTTCTGTTTTAATTTTGTCTATTCTGTGATGTGGCGTTTTGTAATTTGGATTCTTGCAGTGTTCCCAGATCAGGGGGTGCATTGAGCTGCAGGCACGCTCGTTCAGAGTTTCTGAGATCATACATGCGGTGCCAGTTTCTGTTGAGAACAGGGAGAAACCAAATATGTCTCACCATGTTTCGTCGAGCAGAGGACAGAGAACAAGTCCTGCTGTTGACAGAATACAATACAGAAGAGATGGTTCTGTACGGTTCAGTGAACCAAGGAGAGAGGATTCGGTGTCTTCTCCTTCCCGTTCTTTGTATGTGTCTGAAATTCTGAATTCAGCTGTCCAGGCTCTACCACGGTTCCCTGCAGACCGACCCGATCTCCGCTATCGCTGCTCTTCTGCAGGATCAGGAGAGGCTTCTTCGAGAGGGAATGGCGTCGAGCTAGGGAGGGACTCTGGTGGGATGTCGTCTATTCGATCAGGATTTGCAAGCAGCTCTAAAGCAAATGGCAAGCGCGTTCAAAGGGAAGGAAGGGGTGATGTACGAGAGCGGAGGGAGGGATGGACGGGTTTGATCACAGATCGGGGGAAGAAGTCTCTTCACCGAGGTGCTCTTCATCGGTATGAAACCAGAGAGATTGTAAATATATTTAGTGAAAGTGAAGCATGTGGTGTTGGTGGTTTGGGCGTCTTGAACAGAGGATCGGACAGTGGGCATGAGAAAAGTGTCATCTCTCTGCAGGTTTCATGGGAAATAAAGGGAAGAGATCGTGATGGCCGCTGTGCTTTCTTGAATGGAGGTGACATTTGGGCTGTACGTGGCAAGGCAGAAGCTGAGGGGCTGGCAAGGTTGGTTGCTAGTGTCGATGTGAAACTTACTGTGCACTCCTCTGTGGTGCTATACCTAAGTAGGGGTTTGATTGAAAGAGCTGAGAAGCTGATTGGGGTCGTGCTGGAAGGGGTAGGAATGCAGAGGGATGTGGAGGAGACCAGAACTCGGACTGCCTGTTCGGATATGGTGGAATCGGACAAGACGGCGGTGCTGCGAGCCGCTGTAGACTCCATCATTCACGGGATAGATTCTCGTCAAAGCCATGTAGCATACGCGCCCCAGAACGGGTGGGGGGACGTGGGGAGGGTGAACGTGCAGGTTTTTGTCCCCCAGGTAAGGGTTGTTTTGCTTTTGAATGAAAATATTGCAGAGAAAAGCAGAGGCGAATCGTCAAACAGGGAGGGGGGCCTTTCTGAAAAGTGTGTTGCGGTTGACTTCACTGATGTCACCTGGCTCGGGTGCAAGGGAGGTTTTAGTGACAGGGAAGCCTTAGTGCCCCTTGTATCTGTTGAAGTGGAATGGGGTTCTGACAAGGCAACAGGTTCTAAGGCTTTCAAACTAAGGAGGGCGAGTGTGCGTCTTGGGGCCCTGGCACTATACATAGTTAATGCGAGGCTCTTGACAGCTGAGCGTGTGTTACTGATTTCGGCTGGTGGTGATTATAGCGGATCGGAGGGAGTGGCTGTTGACGTTGTTGCAACTTTAAATCCTGTCGTCACGGAGAGCGGATCTGGGCTTGAATTTGTGCGTGGAGCTTGGGAAGTGGTTGCGGCTATTGAGAAGAGAGGGGATGTGAATGCGGTGGGAGGGGAGGGAATGGGTGATGTATCGACAGCAGTTGCCGCAAGGGAGTGGGATGTCGAAATAGAGGAACTGAAAAAGGCAGTTTTGAAAACTGTAGCTGTTGCTGTGGATGTGAAAGTCAGCTATCTTTGCTTGGATATCAATAAAGAGCTCCTGGCTGTGGTGCTGAAGTTGACCACAGAGATAAGTGAGGTTTTGCCTAGTGTCAGTAGCACGGGAAACCAGAACGACGAGTCAGTTGAAACTGGTGTCTTGGGCACTGCCTTGTCTGTGAAATGTGACGAGTTCGACTTTGTGCTGCAGATTGGAACAGAGGATGAAGATGTGAGACCGCAGACTGAGTCACCTCTGACATTACCCCCTGGGTTTGGTCCTGGATTATGCCTCATGGATTGGGCCTTAGGTTGGCTTGAGCTTTGGGGGAATGTGCGGGAACTGACTATTTTCTATGCGCCAAAGCTAGGTGGAATCGCTGATTCAGAACTCTTATGGCTCCGTCATAAACAATGTGCCATGAATGGTAGCCGCATGGTTGATGCCTTGGACGAGAGTAGAGGGATTGGACTTCAAAAACAGCGGAAAAGAAAGAAGAATGTGAGGTTGCTTTGGTGCCGTGCTAATTCAATTGGCCGGGGTGATGCAGGGGAGGGGGCAGGGAATGCGCTTGCGGGTTCGTGGTCGGCTGGCATGAGCGTGGTCCATCTTTCATGGCCCAGCGGTGGCTATGTAACTGCGGCAATATTGGCGTGCTGCATCAGAGGAGCAACTTGTATCGGATTTAGTGGTAGGTTTGATTGGCCTGCGGCACTCATGAGCTTCTGGCAGGTTAACTCTGACAAGAGAAGCGAACAGCAGGGGAGCACAAGGCACGATCATCATGACGATGGTGGCAGATTAGACTTTGAGACTGTTCCATTGAGGCCTCCTTTTGTGGTGGAGGGTGTCGATGCAACAGATGTCTGCGAAACATCAGACTCCTGCAACGAAGCACCTTATACCACAGAGGAGTGTGGTAATTCTCCCATGCTTGTCATAATCGACTTGCAGGATTGTGCCCTTGCGTATGAGCCTGGGATAGAGTCGCTTCGTGTACCAGGAATGAGAGTGGCGGTGCCTGGCGGAAGATGGAACGAGGGACGTGCAGGACTTGGAGAGGAGGATGCAGCAAGTCCCCCAAGGAGGTGCCGAGCGGGAATAAGCGTGGGAATGTCTGGATTCTCAAGGGTGGCGGGCAAAGATGTCAGAGGGCACGTGGCAGTGGCAGATGTGGAGAAGCTTGAGGATCAGTTATCTGTACACGAACCGTTGATGGTATCAGCATTGTCGGCGTTGTCAGTGTCAACACCTTCACTTGTTGGCTCTAAGTGTGGCAGAGTGTACAGGGGTGAGGACGCACACAGGTCGCCAGGTGGGCCAGTTGCAGCAGTTGTTGCGGTTGCCGCAGTCAGGGTAAAAGCTTTTCCAGTTGGCGGCAGTGCGGGAGCACACACGGAAGTGAGTTTAAGGGATGTGGGTGTCCATATCCTGGACACAGGCATGAAACGATTGTCTTACATGAGCGACTACTCCGCGTCATCAATGCGTAGGGATGGGTTTACACAGGTGAGTGGTACTCCTTTGTTTCTGTGCTATTGTGTCATCAGCCGGCTCTTGCTCTGCTCGTGTGGTAGGCGCATATGCTTCCAGTTCCTCTCAAGGTGTGTCTGAATGGAAAGCAGAGCAAATGCGCACCCTTTTTTTTTGTGTCCCGACTAATTGGTTGGCAGTTGAGGCTTCTGGCATTTCACATTGGCAGTGGCGTTTTGGATGTTTCGTTGTGTGGTAAGGATAGGTAGGGTTGTCATTCGTTGCTACGGACTGGTCTAGGTCAGTTGGTACACCCCTGAACGAACTGTTGAAATACAAGACCTGAGTTCAAACTCCACTAAAAGCAGACAAGTAGAATACTAAGGTTCTGAATTACCTAGGGCTGGTCAGTTCCTTGATGGTAGCGCAAGGCTGTCACCATTTTATAAGAAAGGAAAAGTGAAGAAGAAAGGGAATGCTGACAAGAGCTTCGGAAACTGGAAAGGAATGCAAGTAATGGTGGCAGGGCTTTTTTTCCTTTTTCCTTTTGTTTTTTTGGCAGGGCAATTTGTTTTCCTGATGTGATGCTCTTCTTGTTGGGGATGTAGTGCTGGTGGGTCATGGAAACGTTGTGATGTGCTTGTTTGATCTTGGCAGGTGGCCAGAGAGGTTGCAATCTGTGCTTCCATTCGAACTGGTTGCGAGGAGGGTCCGGAATGGGAAGTTGATTGTGAGAACAAGCAGCTTTTGGTTGATTCTTGCAGCGACACTACAGCAGCTTTGGGTCGCTTATCGGGCCAGCTCCAACAGCTGTATGGCTCAGCTGTTCTGGCTGAAGTTGGTCAAGGAGCAGGGGGGAAAGATGGTCAAGACAACCACGAGAGAGAAGCTGAAGATGATGAGGAATCATGCGATTGGGCATGGGTGGATGCAATCACGGAGCTCGTCAGGACGAATGATCTCCTGGAAAGTGAAGGTAGTAACTGGAAAAGGAAAGAAGCAGAGGGAGACGGTGCGGGTGACGGTGAGCAACGACCTGGTACCACAGGAAATGTAAATGGGACTGGAACCGGGGACTACTATGTGGAGGAGTGGTTCAAGGATCCAAGGTCCACCAGTGAGAGGACTTCAGTCAGAGGAAATGTAGAGTACAGTTTAACTGGTGGGCGAGGGCACAGTGACGCGGACCTACAGTCCAACCAACTTCCTTCAGAAACGATTATTGCGGGGAAACGGGTTCAGGGGAGGGAGCTCCAACTTGGATGGGAGAGGCAGAGTGAAAGTGGGCCCTCAGAGAGCCACGCTGCCCCATGTGGTTCTGGAAATGCTGGAAGGGGGGGTGCAAGGGACTCCGAAGCTGGTTGGTACGAGGTTATGGGCATGAATGTTCTTGAGAACCACATTCCCAGCGAGGAGGAAGACGATGAAGGGTCGCTTGACAAGTCAGGGGGAAAGAGGCAATTCCGGAGAGTGGGAAGCGGAAAAAGACTCGGAGCTCTGTCGGTGGCCTCGTCAATTATCTCAACATCGTCTGCAGCTTCCTCAACAGCATCCTCACCAGTAGGTGGTGAGAGCCTCCATCGCAGCTCCAGCAGCAAGCTCTTTAGAAAGGAAGCCCTTCCAAAGCGGTATCCACCGTCAATCGGGAGAGTATTTGTGCATGACTGGATGGTCCGGTGGAGGATGTACGGTGGATCGGACTGGCCGATGGTGCCAAGTGATGAATGGGCAAGCGAAATTGAGGGCAGTGAGAGAAGGGAGAGTCGTAGAAGGAATTCATCGGGCGATTCTGAGAGGAAGACCGGAAGGTCAGCGAAAAGGGAGGTGGTTAAGAGGAGAGGGAGGAGTTGGGGAAGGTCTAGAGGGGAGAGGAAGGACCTGAAAAGTGCAGGGAGGCGCACTGAGGAGATCATGGAAGTTCACCTTGGCGGCATGTCTATTCAGTATGACTTATTCCCTGAAGACAGCCAATATATATCCCGGCTTGCAGTTGCAGTGAACAATGTTGGAGTCTATGATTTGAGTGCTGATGCTGATTGGAAGCTGGTAAGCTAGAAGCCTAGAATGCTGCCTACAAAATGCTTCTCTTCTGACCTGCAGGCTTCAGAGCTTAAACCATACTTGCGGCACACCCGTGCGGTGCGCCGTGCAGTGTGCGTGGACCATGCACCATGCGCAAATTAGTGATGCGCGCATTTTTATTTTTATTTTTTTCGGCGGGGTGTGTGTGTATACACATGCGCGCGTGCAAGAGAGAGAGAGAGAGAGAGAGTCCTTCACATAATAAAAAAAAAAACTGCGGGTAATCCGAGATGATCCGCAGATAATTAGCAAGGGTCTCTCTCTCTCTGATACACCGATTCCCAAACATTCTGATCTTCTGATTCACTTAATAAAGAAATGTTCAAGTTGTAAGCTCAGATACATATGCAATAACCCATGCCATATGTCTCGTGGAAAGACTGAGGGCCAACTCGGCCGCCCTCAGCCCAGGCCGAAAACAGGGGCAAAGACCCCACACGAATATCCAGGGCCTGGACGAGAGACAGTTGACTTTTGTCAACTGCCGTGACCCAACAGTCAAAGTCCAAAGGTACCCAGTCCAGGCCGCCGGTCAAGCACACACACTTGTTTGTATGCAGGTACCCAGACAGCATAAGGTCCAAGGGGAAWGTCTGCAACTRTACGATCCAGGCCTTCGACTGTGACTCAATCTGGACGAGTGAGGGAAGCAGACCCGAGGCCAGAGAGCCTCGCCAAATGCTACTTAAAGACTGGCCTCGAGGTGGTGAGCATTCAGTCTTGCTATGCTGCTTTGACGCTGGCTCGACTTTGACTCAGCGCCGGCTTCAGGCTGGCTTTGCGCTGGTGTTGCGGACGACGGCACGCGGTAGAGGCAGCATGCTGGCGCTTCTTCAGTGCACCAGGCCATGCTGACGTGGGGCTGCCGCTGGTATATGTCACGTTACCTCTGGTCTACATGGCATGCTGACGTGGCGCTGCCTTTGGTATATGTGGCGCTACCTCTGGTCTACGTGGCATGCTGACGTGGTGCTGCCTCTGGTATATGTGGCGCTACCTCTGGTCTACGTGGCATGTTGACGTGGCGCTGCCTCTGGTATATGTGGCGCTGCCTCTGATATATGTGGCGCTGCTCTTGGTCTACGTGGCGCTGCTATTGGTCTTCCTTGATGATGTGGCGTATGCCACCTGTCTTGATTGCTGACGTGGCTTTGTCCACGCTGTCTACATGAGGTGACTGGTTGCGAGGAAGAGGAAGATCGGGATCTGTGGATACAGGGAATTGGGTACTCACCTGTGGCTGACGTCGTCACTGGAAGTCTGCTGTGTCTTCAAAGTCTTCAAGAGATAAAGTGCCACGTGGCACTATTGTTTGTGACTAGGATTATGTTATCCTCTCAGGTTCTACTTGTGATTGGTTGTTGGGAATTTGTCAGAGATAGAGAAACACTGTGTGTCTTCTCCCCATCTGTGCATAGCTGTATTCCGCTGTCTATTTCGATCTGTGTGCAGTGTGGACTCTGTCTCCTCTCCCCCTTCTCTTATGCATGTATGGGCGTGTATGAGATTGTATGTGTGTGAGTGGCGGTAAAAATCGTCAGACAACCAAGATCATAACAATTATTCTTATTATTATTGTTGAAGAGAGTGAAAGAAGCCCGGAGAAGGAGAGGGATTTGCAAGGTTTTGTGTACTCTCTCCTCCTCTCCTTTGTCTATTCCCCCTCCACACTCTTCTCTGTTTGGATAATGAGATACTGTTCGAGTTATCATTTCATGATCTGGAGACATTCAGACAGATATTGAATCTGTTGTTGATGGACGACTTCTGAGTATCTGACAGACTGGGTTCATTGCAATTTGGTATCAGAGCTACTCTTCATCACGATCTGTTGTCAGATGTCAAGTGCTGACGTGGCACCCAGGTAAGTGGGAGGTGCCGCATGTGCAATATGAAACGCGTTTATTAACACGTGCGGTCATACCGCAAGTCTAGACATGGTAATAGTGCACTTGCGAGCAGCCGTCCCTTGAAGATGATGACAAGGCTACGCTGAAGATTGAAGAGTTGCGTTGGCAACAGGCTGACGTGGTGCTGGTACCGCTGAAGTGGCACATTGTTATGTGGCATGCAGTGCATGGTCTAACGTGGCACGTACTTGTTACTGCTATTGATGTGTTGACTTGGTATATTGGTGGAAGGTAGATCTGCATTGTGATGTGGCATCCCTCCTCGTAGACCTATCGGGTCCTTGATTTGATGATGTGGCAGACTCTTTGAGTTGCTGTGTTGGCAGGCCAGGGGTGACACGTGGCATGTGTAAGGACTGTATAAAGTGTGAATGTGCATTTGAGTTGTATTGCTGCTGCAGATGATTGAGAAACGAACTAACCATTGATCGTGTTATGAGTTGGCTCTACTCACCTGTTGGTTGTCTGTGGAGTTTGTGCATACTTACTCTTGTGTTGTTGTCTTGATCACATTGGCCGTGGCTGCGGTACCTGTAGTAGTAGAATGTCATCACAAAGAATAGACAGCAAAGTTAAAATTCAGAAAAGACTTGGAAATTTGTTTCTTCTAATAATTCATGTTGTAAAGTTGCTGCAGAAGACGCGTGTACTGTGGAATTTATTCTTGTCTTTAATTTTATTTTTTGTGCAGTAAATACACGCGGGCAAAATGAACTCTCTCTGGAAATGTCTTTGTGCCCCCATCTTGACGCGATTTATTCCACTCGTCTTCTTTCCTATCCCTCTCATCGTTTATGCTGATGAAGAAGTAAAGGATCTCAAGACGCGTGGACAAATTGATGCAAGGAGGGAGACTTTGATCGGCCTCCTTCGCCAGCTCCTTGGTGAAATACACGGTGCCGGACCAGCAGTTGAACAACACGTTCACGGGCAGTTCAACCTGCGCGCAGCAGAGGGTGAACTTGAGGTCGCAAAAACTAGTGTTCAGATGCTGGAAACCGGACAGCGAGTCGAGGAATTCATTAGACAAGGGCGTAATGCTCTTGATCGATTTGTCGTCGAGGAACTGGAAAGACTAGACCGGGAAGGAAAAGAAGAAGAAACAAAAGAAGAAAAGAAAGTGGAACCACAACTGTCTGTGGAACTGATGGAAGAAAATGTCAGACAGCTAGAGAATACCTTGAGGGAAGAGAAGAAAAAATGAAGAGTTCAGAAGAAAGAAGGAAGAAAGAGAACAACAAGAAAAGATGTTGGAGGAAATGAGGGAGCGGTTTCACTTCGAGGAAGTTGAGACTGACTTGTCGTTTGTACTGCAATCTATCATGGCTTACCTTGTTCATCTTGAAAGAAAGATAAACTCTAACACTGTCTCATTGGAGACTATGTTAAGAATGATGAAAGGTAAGGATAAGGTAAGTGTTCAGGAGGAGATGAAAGGGGAAGATAGGAAACCATCCCAGGAGAAACTCATGAAAGATGCAATGCGGCAGGAGGATAAACTCGGACCCTCGAAGAAGAAATCCGAGGAGCCGGCAGGAAAGAAAGAAGAAAACAAGAAAGAAGAACCGGCTAAAGAATCGGTTAGGAAAGCGGAAGAACCGAAAAAGAAAGAAAAGGTTAAGATGAAATTGCCGTTTACTTCCAGCAATAAAAAGGAAGAAAATATGTTGATGTGGATCGCCGAAATACAGTAGCACTGCACCCGTTGAGCCTGAAAGTCAGGTTGCTTTCTCCACGTCTTGTCTAGGAGGAGTAGCCAAGGAATGGGTGCTGGCCGAAAGATAGATTTCTCGACAAAACGACGGCTGACAAAGCTTTCAATGAGCTCACCACGATAGGCCAAAAGCGTTGGACTTTTGTTGATGCCTTGTCTCGTGAAGTGGACCGTTTGTTGCAGGTACCTGGACTGAACCTTCAGGATAACCAGGTTCTCTACATCTACTCACATGCATTGCTAGAGCCCATTCGTGGACAACTCGTGGGCGAATCTAAGTCGGGTAAGTATAACTATTGGCAATTTCGCGATCTCGCTCTCCAACGAGAGCAGACGACCGCGTAGGTAAAAGGGTCTTACGCTTCGGTGGTTAAGTCGGGACCGGTAGGAGGTTATGGCAAGCGGGTCATTTGGCGGCAAAAGCCCCAGGACCATATGCTCGTGTTATTTGACGATGAGACTATAGAGAAGTTACCCCTCGATGAGTCTGAGGGAGGAGGAGGTAATGGCGGCAATGAGTTCGGGAAGGGTGAGGTCGCTGCCGTAATGGCCAACAAGGGAGACCAAAGTCAGTGGAAGAAGAAGAAGAGGCCACGCTCGTTTCTCGAGTATCCCGGCATTGCGTTCGGGAGACCTTGGGAAAAGATGAACATGACTCGGGAGGAGTGGCAGTTCAAAATGGACAATCGCCGTGGGGCATGTGATAGCCTGGTGCCCACTTATCCGAAACCCAGAAGTGAGCAGCCAGTAGGAGTAGCATCTGCTCCTACTAAGTCGACGGGTTTAGATCAAGATAAAGGTAAGGCGCATATAACCCCCTCTACCCCTTCGACTCTCAACGCAGAGGATGGCTCTTCTTCAGCCCGTTGTCCAAACCACCCTGACACAGTCCTTTGTTCTATCTCACTGGACTATTCCTTTGACGAGCTCTACAAAGAACTAATAACACTAAGGAGTTCGTGGGCAAAGAAAGCAAAGTCTAAGGGTGAGTTAATGATTGTGGATGTTGAGATTGCGCACACGCGAGTAGGTGCCCTGTTAGATCCGGGATCGACGCGGTTTTATATGTCAAAGAAAGCAATTCGAAAATTGCATCTAGGAATGAAGGTAAAGGATTTACCTAGACCTATCACGCCTATACTGGCTGACAAGAGCACGATCACTGTCTCTCAATATGTCGATCGTGTCAAGTGTTATTTCATAACCAAGGAAGGTAAAAAGATTCTACACGAGGTATCCTTCCTTATAGAAAAACATTTACCCTTTGACTTAATTTTGGGTATGGATTGGCATGAGGAAGCCGACCCAGAAGTTAAGTTAAAAGATAAAATTGTCAAACT